GCAGAGTGCCCTGGCACAAACCAGAGTTCAGCACATGGTCATGTGTGTTGAGTGCATTATGCCCTCATTAGAAATGCAGAACAATCTGACAAATCCAACCCTGAATATTCACTGCAAGGACTGATGCTGAAGCTCCAACACTTTGGCTACCTGATGCCAAGAGCCGACTCACTGGAAAAGACCCTGATGCTGGGAAAGATTGAAAGCAGGAGGAGAAGGGGGCGGCAGAGGATGAGATGGTTGGACGGCATGATTGACTCAATAGACCTAAGTCTGAGCAAACCCTAGGAGATGGTAAAGAACTGGAAAGCCTGGCATGGTGCAGGCCATGGGGTCACAAAGAGTTGGACATGATTTAATGACTGAACAAGTAACCTGATTCACTGCTGAGTGTTTGTAAAGGTTTAGACTTACTGTAGACAATAGTACGAAATATATTTTACTTTATGACCCAGCACAGTGAACACATGTATGTTGCAGAAAATTTAAATGCTTCACAAAACAATACTTTCCCTATTTATTTATTTTTTGGCCTCAAGGTTTACAGGATCTTCGTTTCTCCACTAGGGATCAAACCTGAGCCCTGGCAGTGAAAGGCCCAAGTCCTAACCACTGGATCGCCAGGCAAGTCCCTCCCTAATTTGTTTTTTAAACATGTATACTATTATATTCACTTTCTTTAAGATTTAATTCATATATGGCTGTGCTGGGTCTTCGTTGGTGCATTCGGGCTCTCCTTAGTTGTGGTGAGCAGGGGCTACTCTGTGTTGCCCTGCACGGGCTCCTCATTGTGGTGGCTTCTCTTCCTGCGAAGCACAGGCTCTAGGTGTGTGGGCTTCAGTAGCTGCAGCATGTGGCTTAGAAGCTGTGGCACGCTGGCCAGGTCCTAGAGTGCGGACTCAGCAGTTGTGGCCCACAGGCACAGTTGCTCTGAGGCACATGGAATCCTCCTGTACCAAGGATCGAACCCGTGTCTCCTGCATTGACAGGTGGATTCCCATCCACTGTACCACCAGGGAAGTCCTATATCCCTTCTAAAGGGTCCAGACTCACTAAATTCACTTTCTGATCTATTGTGCTGTGACGTGCAGGTCTGAAAAACACTGCACTATGAACACACAAATTCTAGCACACTATTTGATGTCTTTCCTGGGGTTGTGCTCTTGTTTAAATAACACTGACACCCTTACTCTTTTCCTAAGGACTGTATTCAAGCCTTTTAATAATTTACCATGGCCACTTTCCAGCTTTTCTCATCTTCTCCAAACTAAGGTCTAAGTAGTGTTTAAAGTGAAAGTGAAGCTGCTCAGTCATGCCCGACTCTTTGCAACCCCTTGGACAGTAGCCTGCACCAAGCTCCTCCATCCATGGGGTTTTCTAGGCAAGAGTACTGGAATGGGTTGCCATTTCCTTCTCCAGGGGATCTTCCCGACCCAGGGATCGAACCTAGGTCTCCCGCATTGTAGGCAGACGCTTTACCATCTGAGTCAAGCCTGCATGTACTTATCCATAGCCAGCTCTTTACCTTTTCTTCCTTCTAACATTTAGTAAGCACTCACAGCATACATGATGCTATGATAGCAGTTGCTAGTAGAGATGAGTGCCTGGGCCTTGTTGGAGAGATGAGTAGGTAATGGGGCCAGCTAGACTGGATTTCCCACTGGGATCTGAGAGCCTTGGCAGAGGGAGGCTATGCATGGATTGCTGTGGCCGCAGTCAAGAGGATGTGATTAATTTTACCTGAGTTGTTGGGAAGGATGGGACTGAAAAACTGACATTTNTGGAAGGACTGATGCTGAAGCTGAAACTCCAACACTTTGGCCACCTGATGCGAAAAACTGACTCATCTGAAAAAACCCTTATACTGGGAAGGGTTGAAGGCGGGAGGAGAAAAGGACGACAGAGGATGAGATGGTTGGATGGCATCACAGACTCGATGTACATTAGTCTGAGTAGGTTCCGGGAGTTGGTGATGGACAGGGAGGCCTGGCATGCAGCAGTCCATGGGGTCGCCAAGAGTCAGACAAGCCTGAGCGATTGAACTGAACTGAACTGATAACCGTGCAGCACGGCGCCCCCTGGTGGAGAGAGAAGACCTAGTGTGGTCCCCGACCCAGAGCGCCCCCCTGCGTCCAGCCTTCGCGCGGACACAGACGCGCCGAGCCTCCCGTCGGCACCTGGCGGTCGCTATAATTGAGGCCGATCCCCCGGGAACGACAGTCGACCCCTCCGGGCAGGCCGGCCTACAGCTCCCAGCAGACCTTGCGAGAGCCCGGGACTCCATCTCCCGGCGGGCCCCACGCCCTTCAGGTGGGTCAGTATCCCACGCTCCCAGTTAGGTCTCGTCCCTTTTTACCTGATAGCCGAGAATGTCTGGAAGCGGAGGGGTAGCAACGGCTTGCCTGGGACGGGGCCACCCCTAATCCCGACTCGAAACAAGTGCACCAGCATGATGTGGAGAGAACCGGACCAGCGGCAACGACAGCTTCACCCTGATCCCATTGAGGGCTCCATGTTGGCTCCGGCCCGCATCCCGACAACCCCCGCGCGCCGCGGCGCTGATTGGCGGAAAGAAGCATCAATTTCATTGCAAGCTGTGATTGGAGGAAACCTCTTTCGAGCCTCAAAGATGATTGGAGAGAGCCGCCTGTGGCCCGCCCCCTCCCATCCAGTTCTGGGCGGGGCCGAGCCGGAAGCGGCAATGTTTTCCGCCCGCCTCCGGGGTTGGGCTCTGAGGTGACGTCTTGAGGGCGTGCCGAGTGCGCTCCTGCCCCGCCGGGTATCCATAGTAACGCGTCAGCGGCCTATAGCTGGGTCAATCTCTTAGGCGTGCTCTCAGAGCTTTCCAGGTGACCCGAACTCTCAGGGGAGTGTAGAACGCTGGTTCTGGGAGACCAAGGGGCAAAAATCGTTTGGAGTTTTTTTTTTTTTTTCCCCAAAATATGTGCACTTGCCTTTCCACCCACCCCGCTCCCCTAGGCGAGTCAGAGCTTCAGGGACAACGTGCATGCTTGCTTAGTCGCTTCAGGTGTGTCTGACTCTTTGCGACTCTACGGACTGCAGCCCGCCAGGCTACTCTGTCCATGGGATTCTCCAGGCAAGAATACTGGAGTGGGTCGCCGAGCCCTCCTCCGGGGGATCTTTCCGACCCAGGGATCGAACCTGAGTCTGTCTCCTGCATTGGCAGGCAGATTCTTTACCACTAGCTCGCCACCCGCTGTGGCCGCCACATATATTTGGGGGAAAACTCCCCTGGTGATTCTGATAAGCTCGCGGTACACAATGGTTTAGAACCACTGGCGCGACCCCAGATCCATCTCCCCGATAGATGCCTTCCTACCGCAGTCAGGCTGACTTGCCTGTAGCTGCCACCGCACAGCTCTTACACCTGCAATTTCTCTCTTATTTATTTCTTACGTGTAACTATTTGCTTGCATAGCCACCTCCCTACCAGGCTGTGACTTCCTCTTGGGTAGTGGCTCTGTCTTGCTCATTGGTCCCCTCCTTCCCCTCTCCATGCCTGGCAAGGAAAAATGCCCTTTATAATAACTTGAATTGGGCTGGTGGTAGGGAGGCTGTCCATTGATGAATCTGGAGTGAAACTGGGGAGGAAAATGTGCCAGGATTAGTTTGTAGTGCGGCTGGGTGCAGAGGGTGTATGAGAGGATCCTAAAATGCGTATGGTGGAAAACTGGGGTGAGTGAGGTTGGGGAGAGACCAGAGGAAACCCCACAGAACCCATTTGGGCAGACATCTCAGAGAGATCATGGGGATCTCCTAGCCCCTCTGCAGTGTGAGATTCCATTTGGGGAATGTTTTCATAGCTCTGCCTCCTGCTCTGGGATAAAACTCTGCAAGTTGTGAGCTATTATGACACTTCCCCTCCCAGGGAAGAAGCACAGGTTCCTCCTCCAAGTTCCTCTAGAAGGCAATCTGGAATGCACTCTGTTTCTCTCTCTCTCTCCATTTCCTGGACTGGTCCCTACATCAACCCTTGGGCTTGAGCCCTGGGGGCCCTAACACCTGGGTGGTTGAGTCAGCACGCGGGAATGGGCTTCAGTAGGAAACCTAATGACTCAGGACCTCAAGAATGGCGTTGGACAAGCCACCAAACCAGCTGCCTGGGCCTCCGCCTCCTCCTGAGGTGGCGGCAAGGAGCTCAGCGCAGTCACGGGGCACCCAAACTACCTGCCCTTGCAAATTCCAGACCTTCAGCTGCCCTCTGCTGGGTCAGCCCTGACGCTTCTCAGCGGGGCCCCCAAAACTGGATCAGAACTTGGTGGAGAGGGTTTCAAGAGGATGAATCAGTAAACACAATGGAGCTTCAAGGAACCCCGCTTTCCTACTGTAAAAGAACCATCTCATATCCAAAATAATCCCCTCTCCTCTGTTCAGTTCTTTCCTGTCCTCAATTTCCCCCAACCTGAAGGCCAAGTCAGTCTCCCCTTTTACCTTCTTTAGTACCATCATAACAACAAAACATGTACACGTTTTTATTTTTCGTTTTGGGTACCAAAGTGTTTCTCTCTTGACCACTCTGTGTGTGTGTATGTAGGGAGAAGAGAGAAGTTTTGTTTTGCTTTGAGATTAGGTTTCAAGACACCAAAGATGTATGATATTGTCCTGGCCCCATAGCTCTAATATCTTTAATAGGATTCTTTTTGCTTTTGCTTTGGCTGCTGCTCTCTGGCCTCGCCTTTAAATCCTCTGAGGTCTGAAGGTGGGACTGTGGGGATCTCCTTCCGTCCTCTGTAGCTCCTGCCCTGCCAGGTGTGGAGGTGGAGCCCTAAGAGGTTTGGCCGCAGGTTGCCCTGGAATGGGTGTGAGTGGTCGGACTGGTGACTGTGAGTTGGGACGCCTGAGGCCTGCCCCCACTGAGTCACGGAGCTGTTGTTGTCAACCCGTCCTAGTTGTCAAAATCCCTGCTCAGCAACACAGCCCTCTGCGGAAACGGCAGCAGCTCCCATCCTTCCGAGCTTTCAGGAGAAGCCGCTGACCTGATGGTGAGGCGAACGGGCTGGGGGGGGACCAGGGGGCGGTTGGGGCGGTGGGGAGACCTGGGGCCTGGATCCATGCCCCTGCTCCCCACGCCACTGCCTCCTCTTCCTCCTCCTCCCTGTCGGGGACCTGGGGCGGGGAGGGTCTCCTTCTCTCTGTCCCCTGTCCCTCCCACAAGAAGGGCCCCTTCCTCAGCTCCTCCTTCAGCCTTGGGGCTCCCCTGCCCGGCACCCCTCTCTGGGGTTCCCACTCTGCCCCTCCCCTGGCCTCGGGGACTCCCCCTCCCCCACGCCGATGCCCCCAGGACTCTCCTGGGCTGCGGATAGGCCCTCTGATCCCCGAGCAGGATTACGAGAGGCTGGAGGACGGTGACCCCGAGGGGTCCCAAGATTCACCCCTCCATGGGGAGGAGCAGCAGCCCCTGCTTCACGTGCCGGAAGGGCTCCGAGGTGAGCGGGTGGGTGTGGGGCTCTAGGGTTGCTCCCCACTAACCCCCCCCCCCAGGCTGGCAGCAGCTTGAGGGCATGGAGTCAGGTGAGCGCCACGCCCCAATGCTCTCCCTTCTGTGCCTAGGCTCCTGGCACCACATCCAGAACCTGGACAGCTTCTTTACCAAGATATCCTTTCTGTGCGCAGAAGGGGCACGGCAGGCCAAGGGGATGGGTGCCGTGGGCCGGGGACTTGGTGGGGGATCGGGAGGCATCCTCAGGAAAAGCCCATCATGCTTCAGGCTGACTTCTTGACTTGCGGCCACATCTACAGCTACCACCAGAGGAATGGCTTTACCTGTATCCTGCTGGAGGATGTCTTCCAGCTGGGGTAAGATGTGCCCAGGGGCCCAGCAGGAGGGGCTGACCAACCTGGCAGGCCTGGGGCTGGGGCAGGAGCCCACTCGGCCCTCAGGCTTAAGCACCGCTCTTCCTCTCGTCCCAGACAATTCATTTTCATCGTCACCTTCACAACCTTCCTCCTGCGTTGCGTGGATTACAGTGTTCTCTTTGCCAACCAACCAAGTAACCGAATACGGCCTGGGCCACTCCACAGCAAAGTGACCTTGTCGGACGCCGTCCTACCCTCCTCACAGTGCGCCCAGCGGTGAGTGAAAGCTGGCGGGGGCAGGGGCTGGGGGAGACCAACGCAAAAGTCTCCCCTCCTTTTGTTCCTTGGTCTAGATCAGCCATTCTCTGAGGTTTTGGTTTGAGGACACCTTTAATCCACTTAATATTGGTGGAGAATACACCTTTAATACACTTAATATTTGTTTGTTGAGAACCAACTCCTAGGGGCTTTTGTTTTGAGCATCCTATCTGCATTTACCTTGTTAGACATCAAAGCTGAGAATGGCTTTAAAATCTACGAATGTAGGAACATACATCCCATCTGTGAACATGATGCCACACAGAGTCTGGAAAAATCCACTGGATACTCTTGGGAGAATGAGAACAAAAATGGCAGAAAACCTGAATATTAGCTGAGAAGTTTTGACCTTGCAGACACAAGGGTTGGGGGAACTCTAGGACCCACACTGAGAATCACTGGTCTGGCAGGGCCCCCTCTCCATGACCTCCATCGCTCCCCAAGACTGGCCTCCCTTCCTATGTGGCCCCTACTTTGTCCCTGCTGTCTGTTTCGCCTCACACAGGATCTGCTCCAGCCCCCTCTTGGTCTTCCTGCTGATCCTGGCTGCTGCCTTCTGGCTGTTCCAGCTGCTTCGCTCGGTCTGCAACCTCTTCAGCTACTGGGACATCCAGGTGTTTTACAGGGAGGCCCTGCACATCCCCCCGGTGAGTTGGATGAGTGTGTCTGTGTTGGGGTGCCATGTCGGGGGGCTGGGGGGTGGAGGATGGGGAGGAGCAGCGGCCTGTGCAGACAGGAGGAGCCACTGGAAAGAGAGCAGAAGACCTTTGTGACACACCTACCTAGGCTTAGCCCCAAATAATGCTAGGAAGTGGGGTACCACCCCTCAGAACCCGAGGTCCTTACTGTTGTGGGGCTTAGTTGATGCAGATGGTTATGGAAGATATGCACAGCCACGTGCTTGTGGCCCAGACACTGGGGATTTAGAGGGGCGGTCCTCTGGTTTTACGAAGCAGGAGGAACTGCGACCAGGCCGGGAAGGATAGGCGGTGAGGAGGCGTTCCAGGCCCCATGACGGAAAGGGGTGGGGAGGAGCAGTGACCATCTTGGGCAGTAATGAGGAGACTGACCTACCAGCTTGCCACTGAGTGTTCAGGCCCCTGTTGGGGGAGCCCACCCCGCTTTCTGGCTTCACTTTGCAGGGACCTGCTTCGTGGGCCCCTTCACTGTCCCTGGCCACACTTCACTCTCTCCTCCTCTTGGTCTCGCCCCGTCTGCCTGTGTACCTAATTCCTTCTCTAAGGCACAGCACAAAGGCTACCTTCGGCAGTCAACTTCCCTTGCTCCCCTCAGAAGTCCAGAACCTTCTACCGCCCTCCAGTGCAGCAAAGGGGAGAGGTCCTCCGAAAGCCCCCTTGAGTAGGGGAGCCTGAGCCACAGCAGAGGGCTGGGGACAGACACAGGGAAGATCGGGAGCTGGATCACCGCTCCTCCAGGAAGGCGCCTGACCCCTTCTCTTTCTCCTTCCTTCTTTCTCCTCTTCCCCATTTCCTTTCAGAGGTAGGGGAGACCCTGGGGTGGACTGGAGAGGCTGGCCTGAAGGGACGTGACTAAGCTGGATTGGGGAAGCTGGGTGAAACTGGGCTAAAATGAGTTTTGCAGCTGAGCAGCAAGTGAGGTCTGACGGCCCCCGCCCCCACCCCAGATGGGGACCTGGCCACTGTCTTAGGAAGGTTAATCTGATGGAAGGGATGGGGGTGGGGTCTCCAAGCATGCCGAGGTAAAAGCTTGTGGGGCTTCTGCGCCCGGCTGGCTGGCACCCTAGGAAGGAGAAAGAGTGATCACCCTGTTACCTGCAGCTGTGGAGCGCCTTTTGCATGCAGGGCGGCCGGGATGGGGAGGAGGCGTGTCTGGAAAATCTGCTTGGAAGGGGCCGAGCTCACATACCTATGGAGTTTAACTTATGAGGGGGGGGGGGTCCCTGGGGAGCACGTGACTCCTGGCCCAGGAGGGGCAGGGGCCTGGGGAGGCCGGTTCAGACCGAGGATGAGGTGCCGCTGGTCGGTGGCAAAGAGAGGAAGGCGAAGGGATAGCCGTGAAAGGCGGTAGGTTTCTGGCGGGAGGGCCCGGGGTAAGGCCGGTGGGGAGGGCACGCGGGGATGCCGCTCTGGCCACGCGGAGGGTGGGCATCGCGATGGACAGGAGTCCGGGGTGCTGGCCTCAGCAGTTGGCTCTCCGCAGGAGGAGCTCAGCTCGGTGCCCTGGGCAGAGGTGCAGTCCCGCCTGCTGGCGCTGCAGAGGAGCGGGGGGCTGTGCGTGCAGCCGAGGCCGCTGACGGAGCTGGACGTCCATCACCGCATCCTGCGCTACACCAACTACCAGGTGGCGCTGGCCAACAAAGGGCTGCTGCCCGCCCGCGCCGCGCTGCCCTGGGGCGGCGGCGCGGCCTTCCTCAGCCGCGGCCTGGCGCTCAACGTCGACCTGCTCCTCTTCCGCGGGCCCTTCTCGCTCTTCCGCGGCGGCTGGGAGCTGCCCGACGCCTACAAGCGCGGCGACCGGCGGGCCGCCCTGGCCGCGCGCTAGCCCGGCCGCCGCCTTCCTGCGCGCAGCCGCGCCCCCCGCGCCCCTGCTGGCGCTGCTGGCCCGCCAGCTCGTCTTCTTCGCCGGCGCGCCCTTGGCCGCGCTGCTGGTGCTCACCGTGTACGACGAGGACGTGCTCGCCGTGGAGCACGTGCTCACTGCCATGACCGCGCTCGGGATCGCGGCCACCGTGGCCAGGTGCGATGGCAGAGGGCCGGGGACGGGGGGGCCCTTCCTCAGTCCTGGGTTGGAGCGTCCTCGCACCCCTCCCTCTCCCCTCCCCCCCGCTAGCGTACCCCCATCCCACCCCCCGCACATCCTCTGAACCGCAGGCCGCCTTCTTTCCCCACTCCGATCCCGCCCTCTAGGTCTTTCATTCCGGATGAGCAAGGCCAAGGTCGTTCGCCGCAGCTCCTGCTGCAGGCGGCCTTGGCCCACATGCACTACCTCCCGGAGGAGACCGGCCCTGCCGGCAGGACCAGCTCTTACAGGCAGATGGCGCGGCTGTTGCAATACCGAGCGGTGAGGGTCACGCTGGAAGCCGGGCTGCGGAGGCTTTTGTCTGTCCCCCGGGGGCCTGGGGGAGGCCCCCTGGAATGATGGGGTAGGAGGTTGCCTGCCAGGCGAGTCTGGTTGCCCTCCTAAAGGCCTTCTCAGCCTCGGGCCTGCTTTCTCCAGGTCTCCCTGGTGGAGGAGCTCCTGTCCCCTGTCCTCACGCCCTTGTTTCTGCTCTTCTGGTTTCGGCCCCGGGCCTTGGAGATTATCGACTTCTTTCGGCACTTTACTGTGGATGTGGCGGGGGTCGGCGACATCTGCTCCTTTGCCCTCATGGACGTGAAGCGGCACGGACACCCTCAGGTGGGAGCCTGTCCCGGGCGGTGCGGGGCAGGTAGGTTGGGTAGGTGTTGGCTTGCCTCACTGGAAGCAGAACTGGGTTCCACCCCCACCTTCACTGCTTGGCACCTGTGACCTCGAGCGCCCCCGTTCACTTTCCTGAGCCTTCATTTCTCAAATGCGGGCAATGACTAGCCAGTGCTCAGGCCTCTTAGGATCACTTGAGATGACAGGTGGAGAGCCCTAAGAGGGTGCCCAGCACCATCACAGCAGTAAGTGGGAGCGAAGACCACTGGAGAGAAACGCCTCAGTCAGTGGACGGGGCTGGGGTACGGACGTGTTTCCTGACCAAGGCCGTCGGGCCAGTCGTATCTAATGCGTACAGGCCGGCAAAACACTGAGCCCACATCATCTGCTAGCGCTGGGTCTGGACCCGGGTCCTGCTCTCCGGCTGTGTTTTTTTGGCTGATCTTGAACTTGTCCCCTTGTGGCCTCCATCCTTTCACCATGGGGCTAGTGTTTTCTGTCCTGCCTACCCCACGAGGCCCAAACTGCAGCTATCCAAGTGGAGTTGGCTGGAATTCCCTGGTGGCCTAGTGGTCAGGCTTTAGCGCTTTCACTGCCAGGGCCCCCCGTTCAGCCCCTGGTCGGGGACCTGAGATCCCGCAAGCTGTGCTGCCTGATGCTGGCAGCACCTGAAGGGCTGTCGTTCCTTTCAGTGGCTCTCCGAGGGACAGACCGAGGCCTCACTGTCTCAGCGCGCCGAGGACGGGAAGACGGAACTCTCCTTGATGAGGTTCTCCCTGGTTCACCCACAATGGCGCCCCCCAGGCCACAGCTCCAAGTTCCTGGGGCACCTGCGAGGCCGGGTGCAGCAAGACGCAGCCGCCTGGGGCGCCAGCTCGCTGCGCAGCCCCCCTGCCCCCGGGATCCTCAGCACCTCTCCGTCCCCTCTGGTGCGTCGGAGCTAGGTCTGCCCGTCTGCCCTCCTGTCCCCACCACCCTTTGCCTCACCCCTCTATTAACCTGCTCACTGGTGCCGTCTGCTCTCCTGCCTTCCTAGACCTCCTCCCTCCTCCTCTTTTGTGACCCTCTCTCCTGTCGCTCCCAGCCGGAGGCCTTCCTGGCCAACCTCTTGGTGCAGCCCCTCCGGCCGCCTCAAGACCTCAGCCCTACAGCCCCCTGCCCGGCCGCAGCCACGGCCAGCCTCCTGGCCTCCCTTTCCCGAATTACCCAGGACTCAAGGTGAGGGGTGGGGGCCTGAGATGCCCGGAGCAAGGGGTGGGGCTGATCCTCCAGGAGAAGGGGCACTGGAGTGGGGGGGGTGTGATGTGGAAGGGGAGATGAAGCCAGGTTCTCCCTGGGGGAATGTGTGTGTCTTCATGATCAACCGCGCCCTCTGTTCTAGCTGTGTGTCCCCGGGAGGCACTGGGGGCCAGAAGCTGGCCCAGCTCCCAGAGCTTGCATCTGCTGAGATGAGTCTCCATGCCATCTACCTGCACCAGGTGAGCAGAGGGGGTGCCAAAAAGAGAAGGGGAGGGAGAAGGCAGCTGAACAAAGTGGAGAGTGTGGAGGGGGCTGGAGTGTAAGGAGTTACTCAACAGGAGCTGGGGGAGGAGGTGTCGACAGTCTCTGTACCTGGCCCGGGGCTGGGCCTCACAATGTGACAGGAGGGAGGCCTCTCATCTTCTCCCTTCTGTTTAGCTCCATCAGCAGCAGCAGCAGCAGGAACTGTGGGGCGAGGCTTCAGCCTCCCCCCTGTCCCGGCCGTGGCCCAGCCCCCCACAGACCCTCTCTCCAGATGAGGAGAAGCCATGCTGGTCCAGTGACGGTGAGGCGGTCAGGGTGTGCAGGGGACAGATGCCAGGGAGCCGCGGGCATCATGGCACTGCCCAACTGATGGCATTTCTCACTAGGCTCCAGCCCCGCCTCCAGCCCCAGACAGCAGTGGAGAGCCCAGAGGACCCAGAGTTTGTTCCCTGGAGGGCTTCAGGAGCCCACAGACACCCAGAAGGAGCCTGGCCAGGCCACAGGCACTGACTGAGTGGGCTCCTCGGGGTCAGTATTGTCTCACGGGGGTGGGGGAACGGGTAGGACATCGGGTGGTGTCGGACTTGGAGGGGCGGGAACAGTGGTGGGAATCTGGGGTGACCGGGTGGTCATCTCTGGAACCTGAACCCCTGGACTGCTTGCCAAGAGCTTTTCCTCCCCCAGGCTCCCTGGCTTCTCCAGTCACAGGAGATCGGGCGAGGTGGAGTGGAAAGGCATGCCGAGCCCTCTTTAAGACCTCCATGAATGCTTTAGTTGGGCCGGACTTGGGAGTCACTGATGAACTCGCCCAGAGAACAGAGAAACGGTAGGAGAGGAGCTGCCCAAGGTCTCAGGAAACACGTCTTGGAGACATTCCCCACGTAGGGGGCTAAGGGACAACTGTCGGTCCTGGAGCGGCGGCCCGGGAAGAAGGTACCAAGTGACCTCATGCCGGCGGACAGGGCCAAGGCAGAGGCCAAGCTACACATCAGGGAGCGATGGGGGACAGGACCTGAAAGGCAGTAGGTGCTCAGACTCATCTGGCCCTTAGGTTCCCATGGGACTGCTGGAAGGGCATGGGGACCGTGAGCGGAAAAGACTAGAGGGGCCTGCTGTGTTTGGAGCTCATGGCGGTGTGACGTCTAAGAAAGTGGCTGTGGGGAACCAGCAGTGAAGGGTGCTCACAGCTGTGCTGCTCATCTTTGTGACCTTAGTCCTGGACTCCCCACGCCTGGCAGCCAGGGCTGTCCCGGCTTCTTGTCAAGATCAAGGAAGCCTCACTGGAGAACTGCCTGCACTTGGCTGGAAACCAGTTTTCTACAGGGCAGGGGTCAGAGAGGAGTGTGTGGGACAGGACTCCTCTGTCCAAGAGTTACCACCCCAACACCATGTGCACAAGTTAAAAGACAAAGCTTGTCATTATTCTGTAACTGTAATTGACAGCGCTGGCTTAGGCATCTTAGTAGGTCTCCTAACTTCTGGTCCAGTCTCTTATGGTAAATCTTCAATAATAAATATTTGAATGATTTAGAGATCAGGTTTCAAGATAAGATACTTCAGAGAGAGGCGAGGGGAATCTAAAATTCACCTAAACACCAAAGGGCTGACTGCAGGCTCTGGAATACCGCTGCTGGGAGGGGTCTTCCAGATAGACTCAGACTTAGGTTGGGGAAACCGACCCAGAGATGAGAGGATGAGATAGTACAGGGGATGCGAACAGTCTCCATAGACTCTGGACAGACGGTGAGAGGTCACCTCGGGAGGGGAGGGAGAAGTGGCCGGTCCCGGTAAGGCCGACAGGACAGCGGTAGAGCCGTAGTGGAATGACAGCCCCTCTCTCCGGGAACTGCAGTGGGAAGCAAGAGGGGTTTCAGGGGCCGGGGGTGTCTGGGCCGGGCGGGTCGAAGGCCCAGGGCACTGCGCCCCGCAGATGCCGCTCCTGCAGGGAAAAGCTCTGGGTGCGTATGCGGCTTGTCACCTCCTGGGTGCGCAGCGTGAGGCCGAAAATGTCCTCGTGATAGCGTTGCTGATCCTTGGAAGGAAAGAGGGCGGAGGATCAAAACACCGGTGGAAGTGTGGGGCGGAAGTTGGTCCCGCCTCCGCCTGGCCCCGCCCCTGCCCGGACATGGCCCCACCCCCGTTCTGGTCTGGCCCCGCCCCTGTCCGCCTGCCCCGGCCCCGCCCCTCCGCACCCGCAGCACGCCGATGACGTCGCCGGCCTCGTCCAGCTCCATGTCGCCCTCTGTCGCCAAGATGCGCTGCACCGTCTGCAGGACGCTGGTTGCCATAGTGACGTCGCCGCAGACAAACATGTGGCCCCGCTCGAGGCACAGCACGCGGTGCACCTCGGCAGCCAGCTCGGTCCTCAGGATGTCCTGTACGTAGGTCTGAAGGGGAGGCGGGGTTAGGGGCGGACCCCGGCGGGGCCCGCGGAGCGAAGGGCAGGTCCCCAGGGAGCGGGGAGGGCGGCCGGGTCCTGGGTGAGAAGAGATGCCCTGGGCGCCAGGTGGGGCCCAGGTGCGCGGGACGGGAGAGAAGGAGCGGAGCGAGGGGCGCGGCTTGGGCGAGGGTGAGCGGGACCTAAAGGGGGCCCAACGAGCCGATCCGGGTGGGTCTCAGAGCCCAGCTGGAGCGGACGGCGGTTCTTCCTCCGTCCCTAGCTTCGGGTTACCCCAGCACCCTCAGGGTCCCTCACCTTGGGGCTGTCAGGTTCCCGGGAGAAGGCGGTGAGGACGCGGCCAAACACCCCGCGCTGCTGGGCGTCCTGCACCTCGTCGCGGTAGAGATGGTCGAGCTGGGAGCACCGGCACCCGAACACCAGGGTCATGGGGGCGGGCTGCAGACCTGCGGACATCACTGTGGCTTGAGAGCGCCCCCAACCCCTCCTGGGAGACCCAGCCCCAGGGACACCTCCTACTGGCTTCCCTCACTCAGGCCGACCGCCCACCCTTTCCTGCAGAAACCACCACTCTCCACTCTTTAGCCTCTAGTAGAGGGTTAGGTGTTTTCACAGACGCTGCCTGGGCCTGATTTACAGAGAAGCCCAAGGTCACAGGAGGTGATGACTTCTCTCTGACCAGATGGCCAGTGGTGACACTGTGCTACAGCTGGGCTTTCTGACCCAGAATCTGTGCCCTTGGGACCAGGTAACCCTGCGGCCTGAGACAACCGGCCCTTCCCTGCTCCTACCCCACATTCTCCCACACCTTCAGCTTCTGCACTCTGCGCCTTCCTCTTAGTCACAAGCCCCCTTTCATTTGATTGGCCAGCTTCCCTGGGCACCCCGTACCCAATCCGAGCACCCTTCAGCTTCCTGGGATCTCAGACACAGTTGACCTCTGACACAGTCCACCTGGGGCATTTCCATCTTCTGAGTCCCAGCCCTGTCTTCTCCAGGCTTCCAGGTTCCCTTTGTCCTTAATTCAATCCAATGCTACTTTGCTGGGCTAGCCAGACCTACAGGGCACTGCTTTTGTCTCTAGGAGGCCCCCACCCCCGGTCTAGTAAACTTCACCTTTGTAGTCCTGTTTCTTGCCCTGTTTCCTGCCTTACAGCATCCTGCCCCTTGGTCCCCCTAAATTGTGTGACTCCCTCCTGCCTTCCGGTCATTCCCTTGGGTCCCCAGCCTCACCTTTGCTCTCAATGTCATGCAGCCTCTCCTGCCAAAATCCCCGGAAGGGGGCAATGCCAGTGCCGGGGCCCACGAGGATGCAGGGCACGTAGGGGTCAGGTGGCAGCCGGAAGGAGGGAGCCCTGGCCAAGACACCCTCTGTCAGGCCCCCTTTGTCCCCCCAGACACCCCACTCTTACCAGCCTCGGCAGGGTGGAGAGAGGAGAACTTAACCTGCTTGCATCTAGCTTATAGTGAGCATGGTGTGTTTAGTAAAAGCACTCTCCGTACTGGCAGAGACTCCCTGGACCTGTGGTTTCTGGAGGTTGCGTCAAAGGAAATAAAGCTCAAGTTTGAACTGAAGAACATTTTGATGTTTCAGTTTAGAAGATATAGAAAGTATGGGGAAGGGAAGGGCAGACAGCCTTTTGGTTCATAATGACTTCACTGAGTGTATTTGAAGCCACAGCCTTGATATTGGCATTTGGTTTGTGTTCACTAGATGGGCAGTTTATTTGTAATGTGGCCTGCCAGATGGGTTCCGGTCACTGTCCTGGCTGGTGCATCCTGGGAACTCTTGCTTGTGCCACCTTAGGCCTCCAGCTCCTGGGTGCTGGATGGGGCAAGACTTCTGGACACAGCAGGGAGGGAAGGGTGTCCTCAGATCCTTCACTTCCCTTGAGTTCTCACTGGCACTATGGTGAGCTAACTAGTTCTCCCCGGACTAAAGGCTGGTGGAGCACAGTTCCCAGATACCTGCCTGCCAACATCCGATGGACCCCAGGGATGTAGGAAGGGACATGGTACCCCTTCTAAAAGGGACAGGGCCTGCTGGGGTGGGATCCCAGTCCATTCCTGGGAGCTGCAGCTTCAAAGTAGGACCCGAAGTCCAAGTCAGTGAGAGGCCCAAAGCTCAGCCAGAGTTGTGAGGTGGCTTAACTGGATGCCCTGTCCTGGTTGGGTTAAGCAGGGCCTGCCTGCTTCCACTCATACGCTCCAGCAAGGCTTCTCCCCCCTTCCCCGTGCAACCGGCCCATCCATCTGTCCTCGGGCCATCCATGTGGTGCTCTGCCCACCCCGGCTGGACAGACGCCCTCCTCCTCCCCGTGCCCCTCCCATGCGCCCCCCCCAAGTGCTCACTCACCCCCTGATAAAGCAGGGCACGGGGTCTCCAGTCTTGAGCTGGCTCAGCCACGTGGAGCAGACCCCGTAGTGTAGGGGGCCCAGCCCGTCTAGGGGGTGGGGGGGGAGGGGGCAGTCGGTGAGGGATCTGCACCCCCCCACCCTGCCCCAGGGGTCCCTGCGGGGGCCCGGCCCCATCCCCCCGCCCCCTGCCTCACCTTGGGTCCTGTACGCCAGCACGGCCACTGTGAGGTGGACCTCTCCGGGGTGGGCGCTGGGGGCCGAGCTGACGGAGTAGTACCTGGGCTGCAGCAGGGGCAGCTGGGTGAGGAGCAGCGGGGCGGGCAGTGCCACAGACGGGAACTGCTCCAACACCTCCAGCAGCGTGGGGCAGCGGAACCACTTCCACTCCTCGTAGCGCCGGGGGTCCTGGCGGGGCAGGCGGCAGTGAGCTAGGCACCTTCCTCCTGTCCACCTCCCTTCTTGACCCCTCCTGAGCTGAGCCTCCTGGGCGGGGAGCTTCTCGCCCTTCAGGTGGGGCCACAAACATTTCTCCAGCACCTTCCATGTGCCTCTTTAAGGCCAGAGAATTCAGAGATGAATAGGACCTCCAGAGCTGTGGGGGCGGGTCTTAGACCTTCAGGACTTTCACCAGGGGTCCCCCTCCCCGCAGCTCATCACATCTCACGGGCCCCTGCTGCCCCATCGGGGGGCGGGGGGGCTCCCGACCTGACTGAGGGTCTCGAGCTCCTGCTGCTCACTGGGTTCTTCAGCCAGGGTGCTGAGCAGTCGGAGAAGCCGGGGGCTGGGCGGGGAGGTGATGTCCAGGAAGAAGGTGAGAGCCTGGCGCAGCGTGCACGGGGGCAGCCGTGGGTCCCGCACCCAGCTGGGAGGCGGGCCGCCTTGGGGTGGGGGCAGGCATGAGGAAGCGCTCAGAGGACGGGGCCACGCTGGGCCTGCCTTGTCCGGGGTGACAGCTGCTTCTCAGGGGAGGACATGGGGACTGACCACAACTATGGTGTCATTGGAGGGCTGGCTCTTGGACAGCGAGGTGGGCCTGTCTGGGCAGCCCGTGTGTGTGTGTGTGTGTGTGTGTGTGTGTGTGTGTTCGAGGGCCCCTGCCTCTCCCCCACTCATCTTATTGTAGACCTGGTGCCAGCTACAGAGCAGGCTAGACTGCTGGGGACGGGGATGGGCCCAGAGGGAGGGGTGGCCTTTTGTGGGGGTTCTGGGGGTGGGTTTGAGAAAGGAGCCACGATCCACGCAGGTAGCACAGTGGCTGTGAGGGGGGGCTGCAGCAGCCTTCCGTCGGGTCCTGACCCTGAGGGGACCCTCGCTGGCTCCCTCCACCCCCCGCCCCCAGACGGCCCCTCACCTGGGCTGCCCTTTTCCAGCTGCTCCACGGCCACAGACTCGGTGGGCGGCGGTGGGTCCTCCACGCGGCTCAGCAGCGCCTCCACGAGGCCGGGCCGGTTGGGCGGGCAGATGCCTATGTGGTCCCCCGGCTGATACTGCAGCCCCTCCTGGCCTGCAGTGTCCAGGCGCACCAGGATGGTGGCCCGGCTGGGGTGGGGAGAGGGGGAAGTTACAGGAGGGCTGGGGGTGAGGCGGGGGTGCTGGGGTCTGGGGAAGCAGAGGTGGGCGGGTGGGNTGGTGAGTGTTAATCTCTTGTTGCAAGAGGCACAGAACTCCGTGCACACAGCAAGTAGCCCTCGGCGAGGGCGTCTGTGTGTTCAGACCCGAGGTCACAGTCTGAGTCCTAGACTGAAAGTGAAAGAAAGTGAAGTCACTCAGTTGTGTCTGACCCTTTGTGACCCCATGGACTGGAGCCTATCAGGCTCCTCCCAGGCTCCTCCGTCCATTGGGTTTTCCAGGCAAGGATACTGGAGTGGGTTGCCATTTCCTTCTCTAGGGGATCTTCCTGACCCGGGGATTGAACCCAGGTCTCCTGCTTTGTAGGCAGTCGCTTTACCGGCTTCACCGTCTGAGCCACCAGGGAAGCCCAGGGATTCCTAGACTAACAGCTTGCAAGCCTCCGGTTCCCAGTCTTTACACACCTCCTTAGAGTCGGCTGAAGATGAAATGAGAAGCTTAGGTAAAGCCCTTAAGTGCTTCTGGAGTGGGCGCAGAATGGGAGGGGTCTCTGGCTGGCCTTCACCACACACCAGGGGCTGCAGGGGGGCGGGGCCTGGGGCAGGACCCCTGGGAGGGTGTGTATCCTATTTGTTTCTGCTCAGGCGCAAGCCTGGCAAACCACTTAGCCCTTAGTGTGAAACCTATGGCTCATCCAGGATTGGCTGCCGCCTCCCCTCCCACCCCTATCACCAGTCCTGTTAATCTTTCTTTTGTGTGTGTAAAGTCTTATATCTCTTCCTTCCTTCCTTGGCCCCCTCCCTTCCTTCCTACCCCCACCACCCCGCTCCCACCCTGGTCTGCTCAGAGCCTTCCTGCTTCTGTCTGGATGCTCCTCCCGTCGGCCCTGCCTTTCTAGGCACTGTCCGCCAGCCTCGTGCCGGCTCCCCCTTCTCTCCTCGAGCTCCCAGCTGCCTGTCACTTCTCTTCATGTCTGGATTCTTTACTCCTGTTTTCCATTCCCTCTTCTCCTCCCCAGCGAGGGCTTCCCTGGCGGCTCAGATGGTAAAGAACCTCCTGCAAACCAGGAGACCCGGGTTCCATCCCTGGGTTGGGAAGATCCCCTGGAGAAGGGAATGGCAACTCAAGGGTATTCTTGCCTGGAGAATCCCATGGACAGAGGAGCCTGGCGGCCTCCAGTCCATGGGGTCACAAAGAGTCAGACACGACTGAGTGACTAACACTCTCCTCCCCATTAAAGCCTCCATCTGTGCTGGCCGGCCCTCCCCACCCCTCCTCCTGGGGAGCCCTCCTTCCTGGCCATTAGTCCAGGCCTGCTGAGCTCAACCTTGGGAACCCTGGCGGGGCCAGCACTGCCAGTCCGTATCAGGACTTGGAGAAGGATCCTTGCTCAGCTCCAGGCGTGGTCCCGAGACCAAGCAGGGCTGCTCTGGAGGAAGCCCAGGCTGAGAAAGTCCTGTCTTGTCCTCCCCTCGCCCAGGAACCCCCTCTGGCCCAGGCACCACCCCAAGCCTGTCTGGCCCCTGACCCCCTGTAGTTTCTCAGCTTCAACCCTTGCCTCTTCCCTTTTCCCTCCATCCTGCCCTGCACCCACCCAGGAGAGGGAGCAACCTGTGCCTGCCCGAGGTGCCCACCTGCCTGCTGGGGCCCTGGCCGCTGCTTCCCGTGCCGTTGGGGCCATGCCGTCCACCACTACTACTCAGGACTCAGCCAGAAGGGCTGGCTGTGCAACGGGGCAAAATATGAAGGTGGATTTTGGAGGAGCAGGAAGGGGCCGGAGTTCCCAAAGAGTCAGGGCGGCAGTGAGGCCCTGGCTTCCTCCGTGTGGCAGGTCTTGGGGGCGGATGGAATGAGTCAGCATTGGAGTTGGAGGGGTGGTGGGAGTTGGGGGGCTCACCTGGAAGGCCGCCTTTGCCCAACCACGGAAGGCCTCCTCCTGGCCACAGAGCTCGTCGCCCTGGCCCAGCTGCAGCAGCCGCTCCCCTCCCAGCTCTTCCAGTCGGGTGTCTACTGCTCGTGCGAAGGCGCAGAAGTGGGGGTATGCCCGGGAGCCCAGTCCAAACACACAGAACCTGGGGTACCAGGAGGCATCAGGGCAGGCCCCCTCATCCTTGCCCCAGTGCCCAGGCAGCTCGCCACCCCTCCACCCCCCNCCCCCGCACCCAGCAGAACTCCCCTTGCCGAGGCCCCCCGGACCTGAGGGTCCCCAGTGCCCCCGCGCTGTCCGTGTTGCTGGACTCCTTTCTCTTCCGCCGCCAGGAGGACACCAGCGGGTCTGAGCAGGAGACGCTGTTGAAGCGGATCTTGTAACTCCTGCAGGAGACGAGGGGACAAGGGTGTCACAGGGGAGGAGACAGGACAGGGCCTGGACACCGCCCGGGGGCAGCTTCAGGGGCTCTGCCTCCGTGGTGCTTGGGGGGTGGCTTGGCTTCGTGGCTGAGGGCCCGTGTCCAGGGGTCCCTGAGCCCTAGGCCCCGCCTCCCCTCCTCTCTCTGCAGGAGACGGGCCCCTCAGAGTCCCCAGGACTGAGAGTGGGCACGTCACAAGGAAGAGGGTGTCCTGAGGCTGCAGGGGGTGGGGGGGCCCAGGCCTGTGTTCAGCTGTCCTCCAGCTTGTTGGGAGGCTGACTTGCAGCCCAGAGAGGGGACTCTGTAGACCCCCTTTCCTTTCGTGTCTCCAAATGCCTCCCTGTCCCCTCCCCTCCCTCCCCCTGCAACTCACTTGTGCTGTTCTGGCCTTGGGGAGCTGTTGTAGGGCCCTGACATCTCCATCAGTGCAGCTGCAAAACTCTGGGGAGGGCAAGTGTTGGCATCGGGATTAGTTTTATTTCAGACTGTACAGAAGCTCATACTGCACTGGAGTGGTCCCTGTTATTATTAGTTACAATTTTAATTTTTAATTTGTTTTTAACATTTCAAAAAAGAGGTATGGGCTTTTGGAAAACATTACAGAAGCATGTCAAGTAATAAAATAGAAACCTACCCTTCCCTTCCCTCCAGTCTCATCCATCAGAGCAGGTGTACCACAGACAGCTGTTACACTATCTAGCCCCCTTTTCATTGTGCCTAATATATGTCTGTATTTATAGTTTATTTATTTATTTGGCCATGCCACATGGTTTGCAGGATCTTAATTCCTCGATCAGGGGTTGAACCTAGGGTCCCCCAAGGTGAAGGCACCGTGTCCTAACCACTGGATTGCCAGGGAAGTCCCTAGTTTTCCTTTTAATTGAAAATGGGACCATATTATACTTACCTGCTTTTTGTCAATAACTTATCGTGTGTGTCCTTCATGTTCACACACCAACACTGATCTCAATCTTTTAAATGACAACACAGCATCCCATCATTTGTAGGTACCATTACGTATGAGACCTGCCTCTGATAGGGACATCTGGATGGTTTATGAACAATGCACAAACACTCATATGTGCCTGCTTCCTCCTTTGCATATTTCAGGAGGGTGTTCCTTGGATGTGGACTTTCTGAGCCAGGATTTGAAAACTCGATGGGTCATCAAATCGTCCTCCAGGATCCTGTCCATGCTGGAGATGACCACTCCGTAATGCTTCAGCCAATTTGATAGGTGGAAAACAGCTCTCAGTCTCCCTGCGTTGTCCTGATCACTAGCAGCTCTAACACCTTCTAGAAAGCTGAGCCGTTATCACGTGCTGCCACGGAAACAGCTTAGAACTACACGTGCCAACCTTTGCACAGGAAAAAACAAATCGCAGCAAGGCCATAACATCCCAGGATCCACTGCAGATGCATTTAGGTGGTGGATCTACAAGTTCACCGCAATTAGCATGTGCTACTTTAATTTTATTTTCTGAACATTTTCTTCTTCTTTTTTTTTAATGTGTATACGTGTTCCCCATCCTGAACTGAACATTTTCTTGAAGTATAATGTACCCACAGAAAAGCATCCATGTTATAAATGCCCGGCTTTATAGCTTTTCACAAGCTGAACCTACCTGTGTAGTCAGCATTCCATCAAGAAACGTCACCAGTGTCCTAGAAGTCACCTTTGGGTGACCTGACCCCAGGTACTCCCCCACTTCCTGCCCTGGGGTCACCACCTGCTCTCCTGATTAAAATACCAGAGACATGTTTTCCCTGTTTCTAAACTTGGTACAAAGTGAGTCTGAATATCTGATTCTTTAGTGTCTGACTTCTTTCCCATTACATGATGTTTGAAATTTATCTGTTTTGTTTGTGTGGTTGTAATTTGTTCACCCTCATTGATGCATCGCATTTGAATAGACCACGATGTATTTTTCCCATCTGTGATTGAGAGTCATTTGAATTGTTTCCAATGTGGGGATACCATGAGGAGTGCTGCTATTAATACTCTTATTCATGTCGTTAGTAAATATATGCCACTTTCTGTGGGGCAAATTCCTAGGTTTCCTCCATTAAAAAAGGAATTTGAGGTAAAAAATATACATATATTGAAATGCACGGAATTTAAGGGTGCAGTTCAAATCGGTTTGGCCACTGGGCAGTTTCAAAGTTAGATAAATGTCTACCCAGTGACCCAGCAGTTCCACTCCTAGGTATTTATTCAAGAGAAACGAAAACATAAGGCCACAAAAGACTTGTACAAAACTGTTCATAACAGCTTTATCCACAATAGCCAAGTGCTGGAAAACAGCCCAGGTGTCCGTCAGCAGGGGAGCAAAGAAATAAACTGTTCACGCCCCCGAGATGGACAGAAATGAACCCCTGAATCGTCCAACAGTGAGATGAGCCTCCAAAGTAGGGTGGGTGAAAGAAACCAGACTCGGCATGCCCCTTTCTGTGACCTTCTAACGCAGAGGACAGGAATCAGGATGGGGGTTGCCTTTGGTGGAGAGACTGGTAAGCGGATTGATTTGGGGAGTTGACTAGGGGCCTTTCTAAGTGCTGGGAATGTTCTCTGTCTCTATAGGAGACAGGATCGTGGGTCCCACGGATGCAAACATGACTCTCACCCTAGAAACAGCTGGTGAGTGTGTTTTTCTTTAGAAGGGAGGTTGGACGCAGGACTGAAGGGGCAGCGTGGTGGGGGAGAAGCCCTCTGCGGGCATCCTGCTCTAGGGGACTTGAGGTGTAAGTGCGAAGAAGACATCTAAAAGCAGGAGCAGACAAGAGCTCTGGAAAGGAATGCAGCTGGGGGGTGGCCACGACCTGGAAGCAGGGAAGGTAAGGGTTAATAGTCAGGTATCCGGCCCATGGGACGCTAGTTGGTTTCTTTCAAGATTTGTTCAGAAAGTGAGCTCACCTAATTTCTGTTAGCATCTGAGCAGTGGTCTTTTCTTTTGTTAAGAAAGGAAGAAAAGACAAAAAGCTGAGGTCTCACTCTAGCTGCTGCCTTTCCCATCTGTCAATGCCTGCCCAGTCAGGAAGTGCCTCCCGAGTGTGAAACACTTGCTCTGATAGTGGAAGTGACGCGACTCAGGGCCCTGCCCAGCGCCTGCAGCTCTGACTCTCCCTGATCCCCAGGCGGGCCTCACCTCTCCGTTCTCCGGGGGGTCGCCGTTCCCGAAGGTGCTGGTCACTACCAGCACCAGCGCCTCGTGCTCCAGGGACACCACATCATATGCATCCATGCACAGGACCTGCGGGCGGGGGGGACGGGAGTCCTGGGTTCCGCCGCCGCGGTCTGCTCTATTCTAGTCCTCCCGGCAGGGCGGACTCAGCCCCTCACGTGAGCCCTGAGTCCCCGAGGGTCCTGGGCTCCTCGAGGGCCCTGGCTGTGGCCTGCTCCCGTTCTCCAGTGTGTGAATGAGGATAGGGCCAGGACCATCCCCGACCCCGACCCACCACTTCTTTTCAGACCCTTGCCCACTGGGCTCAGCCCTACCCGGGGGTCGAAGGCCTTCCGGAAGAGCCTCCCCAGCTGCTGAGCGTAGCTCTGGGCCCGGCCGGTCTCAGAGGCGTATAGGATGGTTGCCTTCACTCGCTTGGCCATCAGGGTGCCCATGAGTGAGGCAGAGATCTTCACCGCACTGTGAGCAAGGAGGGGATGAGGGGGTCCCAGGCGCACAGAGCCAGGGGCCTCCCTATGCGAGCAAGATCTCAGCAGGTTTGCAGGGGCGGTGTGCCCAGACCACTGATGCAGGGGGTGGGGGTGGGGTGGCTTTCAGTGGAACACCCCAAAACCCAAAATGCCCAAGACCAAAACCAACCACCCTACTTTAATCAAAAGACAATAATCCCAATGTAAAATAAACCTGTTAACCTGACTTTAGTCCACTCTTCCAAAGCAACATGGCATTATACCAAAGCAAGCGACAAGTAAAACCTGCTGAGGCCCACAGAGGCCTGGCCCACCCAGGACCCCAGCCTGCCCTGCGGCAGGACGCCATACCCGGAGCTGCCCCAGAGCCTCACCTGGAGCTTGCGGGCCATGGCCACCACCTCATGGTCAGGAGGGTTGTACTTGTAGCAGTTAGAGAACATCAATCGGACGTCGGCACCAAACTCCTGAGCATCACGGTACTCACGGGCCTCCAGTTTAGACTAAAAAGACAAGACGGGTCCTGGTTAGTCACGGATGCCCCTGCTCCAAGAAGGGCTGTCTGCAGGAGCAGGTCAACTTCTCAGTGGCTCGGAGTTTAACCCAGACCTCAGTGGGGAGAAGTTATTACCTCAGTTCTCAGCATCAGGTAGACACAGAGATACTCTAANGTGGGTGGCCATCCGGAAGCCCTCCTGCTTCACTGGGGGCTGATTCACGTGCCTGCCTGCAAAGGCATCTCAGGGCAGAAAGGGACCCTGGTGCCAGCCACTTGTCAGCCCCACTGATCCCACTGATCGCTCGTTTCTAAAATGGGTTTTCACTTGTCTTGAGTCAAAACGCCCTTCGAGAGTGCCTCCCAGATGGCACTAGTGGTAAAGAACCTGCCTGTCAAGGCAGGAGACGTAAGAGATGCGGGTTCGTTCCCCAGGTCAGGAAGAGCCCCTGCAGAAGGGCATGGCAACCCACTCCAGAATTCTTGCCTGGAGAATCCCATGGACAGAGTAGCCTGGCAGGCTACAGTCTACAGGGTCACAAGAATCGGACACGACTGAGCGATTTAGGACACACATGCACACACACGCTTTGAGAAACTGATGAACGCTCCGGCCCCCATTCCCAGAAAAATAACTACATCTTCACACGCGGGCACCCCCTCTGCCCCGACCTTCGGTTCTAGTTCAGGAGGCAGCCTGGACCTGGCTTGTTCAGATTTCTCCCTGTTGCTGACATTCTGTACATCCCCGCCCCCACCCCCGCCACACTGGTCCTCACCTCCAGGATGTTGTAGCGGTGAGGGTCACACAGGTTCCGCGTGCCGATCTCCGTGCTCATGTACCAGCCGCTGAAAGGGGCCGCGGGGAACTCCAGACCCCCAATTTCCAGCAGCATGTTGGACACGGCCGGGAGGGCATACCAGCGCAGGCCCAGGGCCGCGAACCACTCCAGTCTGGGGACGTCAGGGTGTGGGCTCAGCCTCTGCGGAGCCTTACCTGCCCAGTCACACCCCCCCATTTGCCCCAGCCCCCCTGTGCTCACGTGGGGTGCTCCAGGGGCACTTCAAGGACCAGCTCGGGGGGCAGAACAAAGAGCTCCGGAGCCTCGTCTGGGGCCTGGAGCAGCAGGGGCAGCACGTCGAAGCGGCCATTTCCAGGGGTCCAGCCATGCTGGACGCAGAGCTGCGGGGAGTGGGGCGGGAGTGGGTCTCAGGGGCTCCCTTCCTCCATCGTCTCAGTGAGATCCCCCTGCTATGCTGACCGCTCTTCCACTGGACCCTTCTGCCTCCTCCCAGAGCCCTCACTGGCTGCCTTCCCCCTTCCCCGCCTCCCCGTGCCCACCTCCGTGATCTCCGCGTTGGCCGGGTCCCCCCTTCCCCGCCTCCCCGTGCCCACCTCCGTGATCTCCACGTTGGCCGGGTCCCCGCGCACGGAGCCGTCCTGCTGTCTATAGCCCGCGTAGCGCACCAGCTGGCTGTTCCAGATCCGGAAGTCTCCGCGGCCCGGGGCGCGCTGCGGGAACACTGTGATGGCCGAGCTGACACGGGGATGAGAGCTGGTCAGGGCCTGGGTCCACGGCCCTCACTGGGGCAGGGTGGGGTCTTGAGCCGACAGGGTGGGGGCCACTCACCGAAGGTTGCCGCGGTTGGTGGCGTACTTGATGTGGTTGCAGATGTAGGTGAACATCTCCTGTGCTGAGCTGCAGTCCCGGGCATCGAACACCTGAGCCGGCCGAGCAGGGAGACAGGAGGGAGGTGAGGGTCTTGAGGAACAGCCCCGGGAGAAGGGAGGAAACTGGGGCAGGGACTGACAACCTGGCCGCAGCCCTTGAAGACTGGCGGTGCCGAGAGCTGTGATCTATGGCTCTTTCTTCTCCGGGCAGCCTCCCTGACCCTTTGGCCCCACACCGATCCTTCCTGTCCTGCACCCCACACACCCGGCATAGCTTGGCCTGTTCCTTATGCTGGCGAGTGTCTCCCCATCCCTATAGGTTAACTTGGTCCCTGGTACAGAAGAGGGACCCAGTCACTGCCAAACTGATCACTGGGGAAAGGCCGCCGACTGACTGGGAGGCCACCCGGGGTGTGGGTGGCGAGTTCCCCGTTTCTCATTGTGCTCAAGCAAAGGTGGGTGAGCCTGGCCCGTCTTCTGACCCTCCTTGGGCAGACAGATGATGGGAAAGCTGCAGTAGGCGGCCTCCGGGGACCCTGCCCATCCTGGCATTCTGATGCTAGGAGGAGCCATCCTCACTGGTGGGGTGGAAGCCCCAGAGGCTGGGAGGTCTGATTCATGCTTCAGGGAGGAGGGGACTCCTCCTCCGCTGTTGGTGACAGCGGCAGGCCTAGGGTCAAGGGTGGGTCAAATACAGAATCTCTGATGGATTCAGAGCTAAACGGGGGCTTCAACCAACTTCACGGGTCATGCTAGCGTCAGACAGGACTGTTCTGATTTTATTCAGGACTTTCGGGATTTACAGAGCATGTGGCTTCGTTCCAAATTCTCTGGTGTCCAGTTACCGCCAAGGAGGCCAAGGTCACGGACCCAGCTCCCCCGTGGGTCAGGCTGTCCCAGTAACGCAGGCGGGCTGGTGTGAGTCATGTGGCGGGTGTGTGGAGGAGGGTGTGGGCCAGAGGCTCGGGGGGGGGGGGGGGCGTGTGCTGGGAGGGAGCAGTGTTTGGGGTGAGGAGGCTGGGCTGGGCAAGTGGGGGCCTTTTCTGGAAGACTGTACCTGTTGCTCTGACAATACCCCCCCTCTAATCCCCCCCTGCCCCAGGGATCACTGCTCAGCTGTCCTCACCTACTCACTGCATCCGTCTGAGCATCTGGCCGTTTCTCCCCACCCAGCCAGGGCACTGTTGTGGCTCTTAACAACCAGCTGTTGGCTCCTGGGCTGAGGGCACTCCCGGGATACTAGTCTCTAGGGGGAACAGGCAGGGATCTCCCCACTGCTGGGACCACCCCTCTCCCCGGCCCAGGAAGCCTCAGTAGCTTGTCACACCCCTCTTTTTTCTCTTTATCTTCCCCTGGCCCCCACTCTGGGTGCTTGCTGGCCGACCACACCTGCAGCTTCCCCCACTGGATGCGGCCCACACAGCGGGGTGCATTGCGCCAGGCCTGCTTGGCCCCGAACACCAGCTCGCTCTCTCGCAGGTGGTAGGTGCCCGTGGATGCCACCTCGGCCTCCACCTCCTGAAGGCGCTCCTCGTGAGCCTGGGAGCCGCTCCTACGGAGGAAGAGGGGAGCAGGAAGAAGTCGTTGGCAGGGGAGGACCCCCCAGGCTTGGTGAGCGTTTTGTGGAGGGGCGCGGGGTTGGCGGGAGTTGAACTCAGGCCCCCCCTCCCCTGTGTGGTATCAGGATGGGGGGCAGGCGCGGATGGGAGCTGCCCTGAAGGAAGTGTCACCCGCTTCTGGGTCTCAGCAGGACCTGAACCCGCAGGACAGGGAGGGCAGAGGGGCTCAGGGGAGGGTCTCGCCTCTTGATGGAGCTGTAGTACTGGTTGATGAAGTCCCTGGCTTGGCTCAGCAGCTGCTCAGCAGGTGGAGGTCCCTGGGAGGGCCGGGTCTGCAGTTTCCGGGGCAACACCAGGGAGCCCAGGCAGCGTCTGGGGGTGCAGGGCCCGTCCTACATCGGTGGAGGAGAACCAAGGTCTGGACCAGATCAGGGCCTGGGGTGGGTGTGGGGCTGGGGCCTGGAGGCAGGGTCTGGGGCCCAGGGAGCGCTGTGGGCTGGGGCTCCCGGCTCAGACTTTAGGAAACAGCCGGGAGGTTGGGCTGGGTTAGGGCAGCTTGAGTCCCTCAGCCCCTCCAGTTCCTCCCAGACGGGGGCCTGAGCCTCCAGTCCTTACCTGCTGGGCCTGTGCGCATAGAGTGTCGTAGGTGATGCTCCCCAGCTCCCAGTTCTTCACGCGAGGGAACTTGGGCCCCTCCGGAGGCCGGGTCAGCGTGGGGCTGCTGGGAGCTGGGCTGGGTCATGAGAGAGAGAGAAGCGCAGGACCCTTGGGGAGTGTTGCAGAGACCTCTCCGGCCGTGTCAAGAGCCCCAGGACTCATTTCTTGCCTGCCACGTGCTTTCTCACCTTTCCTCGTGGCACTCACGACTGCCTTAGGAAGCAGGCGGCATCGCCCCCCGCCTCCCCGGGGGGCCCAGATGAGAGATCTGAGGCTCAGAGGACCTCAGGATCGTCCAGGGGCCTAACTGCCCCTTCTATACCCAGGCCTGCCTCACACCCGCCCTGGCTGCTCAGCCAGACCCAGAGTTGCGGGGGCTGCAGTGCTGGGAACCCGAGGCCCTGGTGCAAGACTAGTCCTGGTCCCCGCAGCCTCCTCTGGACATCCTCCCCAAGGTTGACAGCAGCCCTTGCTGGCCTGGAGGGGGATGAGCCTGAGGAAGCCCCGGCAGGGACTCCTGGCCCAGATTTCCCTCCAGCTCACACCCCTCCTGACAGCGGCCGCTGTGTGTGTGTGAAGGGAAGCCTAACTGGCCTTATCACTTCCTCCCAGAGTCACCGGCCCAGCCTCAGGGAGGAAGGGAGGACCTCGGGGCTCGGAGTGCCTGGTGCTAGGGCCCCTGGCCCCTAGCCCTTCCCCGCAGAGCCGCCTGCCTGGCCTGGCACCCCACCTGGTCCTTCTTCTCCCCAGGGACCTCTGCCCTGGAGGGGGGTGGGGGGAGCGGGGTGGCCCTGCTGGGCCCGGGGCTGCAGGCTGAGTTTTGGGGTTGATGGCCAGTGGGATGAGGGGTCCAGAGCCAGGGAAAGGGGACCTAGCTGCACTGTGCTCTCAGTTCTTCCCGAGGCTCTCAGTCCCTCACCCCATCTCTCCCCAGCTCCTTTCCGTTCCCGTTAAATTGTCACGACTGTCTGTTTGAAGTCTTGTGGTCAACTAGCAACTCAGGACAACCCCTTGGGGGTAAAGGACCACTCTGTCCATATTTGATATAAACGGAGGTTCAGAGAGGTTAAGTAAGTTGTTTTGAGTCACACAGCTCTTGGCAGCCGAGCAGCCCTCAAACCCTGGCCACGCGCACCTGCTACTCTGGCCCCCTGGCCCCCAGCTTTCACCTGCTGCTTGCTGGCCCTGATTCGGGTTGATGGTCTGAGCCTCCTTGGCTATCTGTCTGCACCGAGAGCCTTTGGCATCCGCCACCTGGCCCTCCGGAGTGAGAAGCAGGCTCCAACCCTTCCCATCCCAGCCTGCAGGCCTCGATGGCCGCCCCCCAACCCCGCCTCCTGTACCCCAGTCTCTGTGGCCCTCACCTGTGGTCTGGTGTGTGCGGGGTGGTGGGTGCGGGGGCCCGGCTGGGCTCCGGTGCAGGGGAGGCTGGGCCCTGCTTGCCGCACAGCCCAAGGCCCAGCCCCAGCCCCAGGCCGCAGGGGGGCCCGGGCTCCTGGCCCACGCTCTTCAAGTTGCCCATGTCGCTGGGGTGCGCGGGCGGCCTCCTTCTGCTCTGTGGCTCCCAGCAGAGCCTCGGGCCTTTTCCTTAGGAAGGGGAGGGGGCAGTAGGAGGGGGCCCTCGCCCCGCCCCGGCCCTCACACACACAATGGGACAGGAACTAGCCCGGCCGGGAGGCTCCAGAGCCTCGGCTCCACGCCCGCAGGCCGGGAGGGTGGAGGGCCAGACGCCTGGGTTCCGCTCTGAGAAGGAGGGTGATAAGGGGGAACCCAGGTGTCTGGCAGAGCCCTGGGGCCAGAGTGCAGGGAGTGGGGGTGTGGCGGGACAGCGGGGTGGGCTAGCCAGAGCGCCCGAAAGAACCCTTCGGGGTGTCTGACCAGAGGGGAGGCCTTCCACCTCGCCCTTGCTGGCCTCGCTCCGAGGCATCAGGCAGAAGGTGGGCACTGTGGCCGCAGCAGGTGACGACTAGTCCCTTGCTGTCAGTGACCACAGGGACCACTAGGGTCACCCCAGGGCTCTGCTTGACCACCTTCCCGACATCTAAGCACTCCTGGACTCCTACTGTTGAGTCCTTTCAGGCTCCCGGGGATACAGGCCCAGCAAGGGGGCACTGACCCTTTGTCCTTGGGTCTGGCATTAGGGTATTCCATTCCCTCCTGGCCCCTGTTTCCTGGAACCCCCGCCCCACCCCGCCGCCCCCTGTGACTCAAGTTGGGGGACACAAAAGGGCAGGAAGCTGCAAACTAGGGCCTCCACCTCCCACCCTGTCATCCAGTGACGCATGCTTCCCCAGGGGGTGGGGGTGGGGGGTAGGTCAGCAGATAGACCCAGCGGTGAGGGCTGAGGCAGGGACTTCCCACTGGGGAGATCGTGGAGCCCTAGGGAAACTACAATTCCCAGAATGCAGGTGGTGTACTCAGGCACTCCTCAGGCACCATGAGCCGTAGCGCATGCTGGGGTTTGTAGTTCTAAGCCATTTAGGGGCTGGAGAAAGGCGGTAAGCTGGGGCTTCAGCATCTACAGGGGTTCCAGCCTCGTGGATCTGAGACCACGGAGACCAAGAGGAACTGCGAGAAAGAAACATAAGTTGAGCGACTGAGATGGGCAGAGACCGGGAGAGGCAGACAGGCAGACAAACAAACATGTAGATTTGTGTTGGCTGAGCTCCTTCGAAAAGCAGTGGAAGATATGATGGGTGCGGGCGTGGGTGGGGGGCGAGCAGGCGGGCCAACCGGAAGGAACGGGCTGTGCTGCGAGCTCTGGGGTCACACCAAGAAGGTGGGGTCTGCTGGTCTGCAGGGAGGAGGGTGAGGGGGGCCCTTGTATGCCTGGACAAGCCTGACCTCCCGGGCTCCCAGAAAGCTTTGCTGCCCCTCCCTCGGCCAGGGGGCAGGTGAGATTCAGAAGTATGAGGCCTGTGTTCATCTCAGCCTGCGCCCCCCCCACACCGCATCCCCCTCCGCTGGCCCTGGAACCCGAAGCCCCACCCCACTTGCCTCTGGAGGCAGGAGACGGGGTCCAGGCCCCTACCTCTCAGACATTCTCCCCACCATGGCCGACAGACAGACCCCATTTCTGGCTCCCATGTAGTCACCATCTACAATGCACATGACTGAGAATGGCTCCTTTTTCCAGATTCCAGCTAACAGCTGTGACTGGCCTCCCCAGGGACAAAGCAGCAATGAGCCGCAGATGCTGAAGTCATTACGACCTCTCGCCTGCAGCCCTGACCACAGTCCCTCCCTGTGGACTCCTGACCTCAAGGTCTCCCCTTCCATCTGCGCTCCACACTGCCGCCAGATCCATCTCAAAGTCAGGGCTGAGCTCACGCTTTGGCCCTTCCTGAAACCTTCAACCCAAGGTTGAAACACTGGCCCCGGGCCTCGATTCCCCTCATGTGCCACTTACAACCCTCTGTTCTAGACAAACAGGCTTCCACACAGGTTTCCAAACAGTCTTTGTGACCTCTTGCCCCCGGGCCCTTGCTTACGCCACCCTCTCGCCCTCTTCCTTAGCCCTCCAACTAAAGAAGATCTTCCTTTTCCTTCCTCGTGGCCCAGCTGTGGCTGCCCCGGAGGCATCCTGCCCAGGGAGGACCTGAGTCAGGAAGTGCAGGTGTGATGACCTGAGACTGCGCAGCACCCGACCCAAGACCACCTGCCCCTCCAGGGCTTCAGACGGTCCCTGGGCTCCCGAGGTACTCGGGTTCAGCACTGCTGCCCACTTGCAGGGAGCAGGGGCGGGGGTCTCTCCAGGTCGTCTTCCTGCGGCGCTTCTGTCGACCTGCTGAGACCATCTCAGGCCTCTCTGTGATTTGAGGCCAATCCCATCCAGTCTTCCCGCCCCTCTCCTTCCACAGATGTCAGATCTGCATCCTGTCCCTCGCCTCCCCATTATCTTTCACAGGCATGAATCCCTTTGCTTCCAATTCCTTCTGGGTGTGCTTCCTGGAGGACGCACGGCCCTGCTGCGTTTCCTCGCTTCCACCAGTCCCCTTCTCCAGGCTCCCCAGGCCTTGAGAATACCTCTTGCCCTGGTTCCTCCCAGGGGTGGTTCCTGGGCAGCTTGATCTGCATCTGATTTTTCTTCCAAATGAACTTGCCGTTGCTCTGGAAGAACAGGGCAAGCGCTGCTCCTCTGGGGTCCTGCCAGGCCTGCGTCTTCTGCACCAAGTAGGTGCTTTGTGGATATTGGCTTGTGCAGCTGCAGATGCCCGCAGCCATCCCAGGGTGACAGTGATGTTCGAAAGGCAGTTGGAGAGGGGCCGCTGAGCAGGAAGTTGGCTGAGGCTCGTGGGGCTCGATGGGCAAGGTGATGGTGCCAAGAGGGGGCCTTCTCTGGCCAGGGAGGCTGAGGACAGTGGAGCGCTGCTGCATGGATGGTGGGACCAGGGGCCCTGAACTGGTTTGGGCCGAGGGAGCTGGCGGGGGTTTTAGGAAGGGAGACAGAACAAGTAGAGCTAGAGAAAGTCAGAGGTGAGGCTTTACCACAGGGGAATTTCTGTTTGGCTGCACTTCCTGGAGCTTTGGCCAGCACTGCCCCATGTGTCCTAGCTCCCATCCAGAGACCCTGGCATGCTTGACAGTTTGACCCTCCCACCTCTGGGCTGGGGTCATTCCCATCCCTCCCCAGGCCCTGCCTTGATCTTTATCAGCCATCCCCAGTGGGCATTAAGTCTTATGCGTCTAACTGGCTGATTACTCTTTTTAGCAACTGCATTTTTTTTTTTAAGTTGGGATAGAATTGCTTTACAATGTTGTGTTAGTTTCTGCCATAGAGTGAAGTGAATAAGCTATATGTATACACATATCCGGCTTCCTGTGTGACTCAGGTGGTTAAAAATCTGCCTGCAAAGGAGGAGACCTCCTGCCAATGCCCTGGATCAGGAAGATCCCCCGGAGGAGGAAATGGCAACCCACTCCAGTATTCTTGCCTGGAGAATTCCACGGACAGAGCAATCTGCTGGGATACAGTTGACAGGGTTGCAAGAGTCTGACATGACTCAGTGACTAAATCACCACCATACACATATCCCCTCCCCCAATTCTACTCCCCCAATTCTACCATCTAGGTTAGCAATTGCATTTTGTTTTTATTATTATTATTTTTTAGCAATTGCATTTTAAAGAGTAGTTGCTAGGCTTCTCTGGTGGTCAAGTGGTTAAGATTTTGCCCTTACACTGCAGGGGGTGTGGGTTCGATCCCTGGTCCAGGAAACCAAGATGCCACATGCTGCATGGCCAAAAAAAAAAAAAAAAAAATTANCCACAGTTCAAAAGCATCAATTCTTCGGAGCTCAGCTTTCTTTATAGTCCAACTCTCACATCCATACGTGACTACTGGAAAAACCATAGCTTTGACTAGATGGCCCTTTGTTGGCAAAATGATGTCTCTGCTTTTGAATATGCTGTCTAGGTTGGTCATAGCTTTTCTTCCAAGGAGCAAGCAGTATGCCAGCATGAATCAGCCTCGTCTCCTCCCTCTTGAACCTCCCTCCCCTCTCCCCCCAACCCCAGCCCTCTAGATTGGTACAGAGCCCCTGCTTGGGTTCTCTGAGTCAAACGGCAAATTCCCACTGGCCTTCTTAACTTAACTGGGATTTCAAGCAGGAATGGACTTTGGAGAGGATCAGTTTGGGATCCCCAGCCCTGACAGTGACTGTGTTTTCTGCCCCTGGGGATGCCAGCCCCCATCAGTCCTGATCCGTAATGGTGAGAGACCCTCTGGTGGGTGAGTCAGCCAGCCCCTTGGTGCCCCCTGGTCCCTCAGAAGGCAACCCACCTTACTCCTGCCTTCTCCCTTAGAGCAGGAAGCTCTGCAGGGCTGGGGGTGGGGGTGGGGGGGCGGATGCCCTGACCTTGGGGAAGGGAAGGCTCTGGCTGGGGGTGGGGGCGTGTGTCGGGACTGTGGGACTGTGGGACTGTGGATGATGGTGGCGTTGACAGGGGGACGGAGCGGAAGGCCCTGGCTCTTTATAGCCCAACCCGGGGTTGTTCAGTGTGAGATGGAAGTGCCCCACCCTCCCTGCTATGAGCAGCTTCCTTCCCGCCTGCTGGCAAGCCTGGGTGGGGAGCTGAGGGGAAAGGAGGGGAGGGAGGCTAGAAGTGGGTGAGCGGGGAGCAGGCAGCCCTCTGGGCCCCCCTCCCCAGGCTGAGTGGGGAGGTGGGGGGGTTGACCCTCAGGATGTAACTCACGTTGGGGTTGGGAGCGGAGAGGTTGGCTGAGCTTCCCGACTGCAAGGCAGAAAGCTGGGTCTTTGTGGGTGGTGGTGGGGGCTATGGGCAGGATGTGGGGTGTTCAGGGCTCAGGCCCTGGAAGATGCTGGCTGTCCACAAGGGGCTCCTGGCGGGCACCAGGGCAGCCATCTAGTGAGCCCTTCCTGAGGACGCCACAGGGAGGCAGCAGAGAGCTGGAGAGAAGAGATTGCTGCAAAGGCCTGAGCTCAGATCCTCAGACCCTCAGGGAGACCCAGGATGCGCCGGGGACCGTGGTGTGTGCCTGGCTGGGGTGGTGGGTCCACA